AAGTCAGCAGCATCCAGGTATCTTTGCGCAGACCTATTCTGTTGAACAGCCAGGACAAAAACAACCTGAAAATAGAAGCTGATGGATGGAGTAACAAAAAATAATACAGCTCACAAAAGTCATTAGGGATTGCTTCATGCTGCTAGAGAAGTGTGATGATCTCATTAATTAGCAATGTAAGTATAAGATTAGCAGGCTGGCTCTGAGTTATATTGCTGGATGATTGAGCATAATGTGGCACTGCAGCAAATACAAAAATGATTGCACTGTGTTTATTATCCTGGCATTTAGTAATACTGCAATAGTTGAAGATTAAACTCTTAATTATATTGATTTCTCTGGGCTCTAGAAAGTGCAAGCTGAAACTGCACTGGATTCTGTACTGCAGAGATTCTACTGTTACTTGCAAAAACAGGTCCAGGTTTTCCTGCTAACACACATTGGTGTCAGTCCTGACCTGCTTTGAGCAGGAATCTCAAAGGGCATCTTTTTCTTTTCTCATTAAGTTTGTGAAAGGCATTTGGTCACAGAGCAAAATGGCACATTTTGTTGTCAGTGTAGAATTGCAAAATAAATATACTTTCATACAAGGGCTAGAAAAAGTTTGTTATGAGCTGGGTGAGCACTGCCACTTCTGCTGAGGGTCCCATGTGGCAGTTTCTCTGAAGCAGGGCAGCATGAGAAGCCACTCTTCCATCCACTGTTCCTGTCGCGTAATGAAACAGCAACTTTGAGGAAGTTTAAGACAAGTCCTGCTGCTTCCAGGCAAGAGCTACTGTTTCACTGTGACAGATGGCTGTAAAGAGGACACTCCACTTTCCCCACTCACTCATATGTGCAAAGCTATTTCTGAGGCTGGAGATGTGCTCCCAAGATGTAACTGTAATGTAATATTCTTCACGGGTTTTGTTTTACCTTATGTTAACAATGGGCTTTTTATTAAGTTTTATAAAACACTAATCTGCCCAAGTTATCCTAGATAAAGAGAATTCCCTAAACATGTAGGAAAGTTCACTCAATAGGCAATGCTTACACTTGGGGAAGCTTTTTAGGTGAGTTGGGGTGCAACTTCAGTCCCACTGAGGCTGCCCCCAACTATCACTGCAGGAGAAGATGGGAATTCTCCTGTATTGGCTTGGCTTATTTTTCTTGGGACGGTGGACAGTGGTGCATGGAGGGGTGCAAAGTATTCATGAAGGCTGAGTGTGGGGAGCACCCACAGGGGAAAGGAGCTGCCCATGACTCCTCTGTACCTGGTGGGTGAGAAGAAGAGTGAACAGAGGTGAAAATACTGTCAAGGGATCTTTGGGACCAGGAAGAGAATCTTGGCAACAGCTTTTTGCTGGATTGAAGTGACTGAGGGTGAAGACCACTTGAATTAACCCCCTGAGCAAGCTTTAGTGCATGTGGCAAATGGTGGTGTAGTGCTGGCACTTAAGTAGCTATCAAATGCAAGTACTTCCTTAAAATCCTTTTAGGTTTGTGTCATTGTTGGATGGCATGACGTTGTGACTTCATCTCATTCATCTCCTGTGTCCTCTGTCCTAACACCCAGAAGGGGATGTGCTCCTGCATGGGAGGCAGCTCATTAATATGCAGGCTTTAACATGATGCGCAAGCCTTTGGTATGCACAAGTATTATAAAAATGCAGTGGCTAGAGCTGCTCAGATTTTGACATGGTTCATACAGCTCTCAAGTCCTACTGTATTTTTTCACAAGCAGATACTCAATTGAATGTTTCCTGCCAATTTAATCTCATTTGCAAAGCAGGCTGGTTCTTTATCAGTGAAGTAGGCTGTAAAAGAGAGGATGCTAATCAGCCACAGCTAAAACCAGGAAGGTAACCATATAGAGCAGAAGTAGCAGATATTCTGACAGATGGAAAAATACATTCTCACCTTTGTGAAATTCCAGGCAGCCAAGAATAGGATTAGAATAAAAAAACACATGGTAGTGTGCAGGTGGAAAATGGACTATAAAATAAGAAGGAAGGAGTGAGCACATGGAAAAGATGTTCAAGTAGGAAAATAGCAGAGAGGAAAATAAGTCACTACAGGAATTTATTAGAGAAACCTGATGACGTAAGATTGCATTTCAGGTGCAAATTTGGGAGGATTTTGCTCTTGGTAATTGCTAGGTAAATGATAGTTTGAGTATTGAAAGCAAGTTAGTTTAAAATAAAAGACCCACAATGTGGCTATTTTAAATTCCCCTCACCTTCTACATATCGCTGCAGAAAGCCACTAATTTCAGAAGAGAGTTATCCAAAAATATAATGAAAACCTCTAAAAATATTTGAGTCCATTGATGGGACATCATCAGCTTGAAATCAAAGCAGTTTAGAAGAAAAATGGGTTGGGTTAGCAATTGCAATTGCCCTTCATTCACCTGTCAGTTCTCCTTGCAAGCATGTTTTCTTTCTTTCGCAGTCCCTTTCTGCCCCTGTCGCTGTGCAGGAGCCCAAAGCACACGCACTGGGAAACTCATCAGCTATGCCGGAGAAATGGCACAACTAAGCATAAAGAAATGGCCATAATAAACTAGAAATGATAGAAGAAATGAAATTTAAGCTTTCTTCTAATGGTGTTCATTAGAGTCTTACTGAATTAGTGATAGGCTTTTCTTTTTTCTTTTTTCCTAAAGAAATACCGTTTAAGTTGTTTGTGTCTCATTTAAAGTTGAGTGACTCATGGGGCTTAAAATTTCAAAATGGGTGTTCTGAATACAATTGGAAGCCATCAATTTGTGAGCAATAAAGCTGTAGAGAGGGAAGAGTCTTTTACATGAGGCAGTGAGCCTCTGGGACTCTGCAGGCTCAGTGTCTGTGTTCAGTATGACACTGTGTTCAGTGTCTATGTGATACATAATCTTCCTGGATAGGCACATAGCTGCCTTTTAGCCCCTTACATAGTCCAGCAAAGAGCCTTATTCCAGAGAATGGAGATGTTTTGGAAGGCGCAGTGGGCTTTGTGGCTGTACTCACGCTGTCTGATAACCTGATAACAGATACAGCCTCAAGTTTGTCCTGCAAACTAGCACAAACCTATGTGTCACTGCTGTCTGGAGAAAGAGTCTTCAGACAGTGGGGTATGTGGAGGTGGGAGGAGAATGGGAGCATCCCAAAAAGCGCTACTGCAGAAACTGGGCATGACTTACCCAGATAAATTTCTCAGTGTTTTTAGGAAGAAACAGGATCCATGACACTTTGAAAAGAGGATGGTTGAGTTAGGAACTCCTCAGCATTTCACACTTTCAGACCTGAGGGCTTTGATAGCTGTTAGAAGATCCATCTCCTATACTCCCAAGTTTGCTGAGGTTTTTGTTTTTCCCCCGAGTCCCCTTCAAGTCAATTAGGAAATTCTAACCTCAAATAATATGAATATCTGCTCTGGAGACTTGGAATATGCTGAATGACATCAGTTTATTTCTAACTCACTTGGACACTTAATTGGCTCATTGGGGTTTTGTTTGGAAGGTAGGAAAAAACAGCTTTTCTGATGAGGAGGAAAATATAAGGGGTTGAGTAGTTCCTGTAAAAGAATGTAAAACCCAATTCTTTTGTTTTTCTGGGAGAGCAAAGGAGATACTTTGCTCTTTCAAAGCAAGCAGGCTTAAGTCCTTATGCACCTGGCTGGGCAGTTTTGCTAAGCTGGTTATTTGTTGAGAACACAGGTGTGCATTAAGTTGGCAGTATCCTATGTGGCCAAAGCATTGCATATGGTTGAAGGCAGTTGTGGTAATGTTCTCACACATGGTTTAGCTGCTGCTTCTGCCTGGTTCTGCTTGTGCACAGCCATTTCCAAACCCGTACTTGTAATGGGAAATGAACATTTCAGTGCTGCTCATGTTCACATGCATTTCCAATAATTATGTAGTTTCAGTGTAACCACTAGTTCAGACTTTTTGAGATTGTAAAATGGATTTAACTTTTAGAGGAAATAAGCCGAGAAGGGACTGAGTAACTTTGAGACAATGATACTGCTTTTCATTTAAAAAAGAGAAGGAGTTTAAATATGCAAAAGGAAAATTGGGGCAGGAGGGTGCTTTTGAGCTTTGAGACACTTTCCTTCTTTGTCCTACGTATATTCAAAATTTCAGGTTCTTCCTAAATCATTGTTATTGAGAAAGGTCCTTACAAAGTCAGAGCACTTAAGAGGTTGTTAACTTCAGAATGAATATCAGGTTTTGGGTAACATTGTGTTTTTCTTACATGGTGTTCAGGGTTTTGAATTGGTGTTACACAAACCAAAACCAAAGCACTTGAAATTCCTGAGTAAAAATGTCTCTGTAGCTCTTCAGTTAATCAGTACATCCTGCCTTACCCTTGCACTGCAGTGTTTGCTTCAGAAGATGAAGACCAGAAATTCATTGGTTAAAGTAAGAATGAGCTTAAATTTTAAATAGGATTGTGAGAGACCCTCTCCTACATGAAAAAGTTAAGATATGCTGGTTGCCATTTCAATGTTCCAGGATACACCTGCTGTTACAAATACATGCTATCAGTTGAGATAATCCTCAGCTGTCGTTAAGTGGCAGTTTCACCAGCTTCCCAGCGGAGCTGTCCTGGTCACAGGAGTGAGCATCCCTTGATAAATGGGAGGTTTCATTTCTGGGGGAGTAAGGGGAATGTTGGCCTTGGCATTGTTTGAAAACTTGGAACAGTACTCATAAGCCTTGAGGTTATTCCTTTGAAGATTCACATGTGTGTACCCAGGTAGAGAGAGCTTTGTCTGACTCATAAACATTTGGGTCTTTATTCATGTTCATGCAGCCTTGTCCAGGTTGAGGCACGCAGACATGGCTGCTGCCCAGGGTGATGACCCTGTACAGTGACAGAGGGGTACAGTCTTGATGGCATGCCAGCTGTCACCCCTCAGGAGTTATCCTTTCTCTGTAGAAACTGCTTTTGAAGAAAGAGCTGAGGTGAAATGTGTACTGCTCTCTACACCCGTGCCCTGTGGATACACTCAGAGATGTCATGTGTTTTGTTTTTGAACAGGAAAAGCCAACAACAATGTACAGTGGGATGAGGACTCCGTAGAATACATGCCAGCCAACCCAGTCAGGATCGCATTTGTCTTGGTTGTTCATGGCAGAGCTTCTCGGCAGCTCCAACGCATGTTTAAGGCTATTTACCATAAAGACCATTTTTATTACATTCATGTTGACAAGGTAATATATCACTGGTTATAAATTGCCTGTCTCGCCATCTGTCAGTCTGCTCATTTTTGTCATCTTCATCTTCTCTTTACCTCTGCTGCATAAAGTGCATGTCACTTTTTGTCTCTCCATCTGTTATATGGTTGGAGCCTCTTCTTTCTGGTTATTTTTTTTTTCCCTTTCTTGTTATCTTCTCTATGTAAGAGCACTCATTTCTCCTTATGTCTGTATCTATCCACGTCTGTTGTACATTCAGTTAACAGTAATTGATAAGCTGATGCAGACTGACAGTGGTAGCCCACTGAATGGAGAGCTGACCTGAGGTGCCGCCTTGCGCAAGTTACTTTAGTTCACAATGTAAAAGGGAGGTAGTAACAGTCACCTCCTTAACGAAAGCCCTTCAGAATCTCCTGGTAACAAATGATAAATAAGAGCTAGTTGCACTGATTTGTGGATACCGTAGTTGTAATAAAAAGAATTTAACAGGGGTCTCTGTGCATTTTCAAATAGCATTTAGCAAAGGTAAGTGAGGGTAAAGCAATGGCAGTGAGTCAAGAGTTGGTGGTTACTGAATACAGAGAAGAACACTTTTGGACAGAGTAACTTGAATCTATTACTTTTTTCTCCTGTAAAGCGATCCAATTACTTGCACCGGCAAGTGCTCCAGTTCGCCAACCAGTACCCAAATGTGAGAGTCACTTCCTGGAGAATGGCAACTATTTGGGGAGGAGCAAGTCTTCTGACCACCTACCTGCAGGCCATGAGGGACTTAATGGAGATGAATGACTGGCCATGGGATTTCTTCATTAACCTCAGTGCTGCTGACTACCCAATCAGGTACAATGAGTATTTTAAGAGCGTACATGTTTGTTCCTAAAGGAAATATGTACTGAAGGATATAAGAGATGACATGTCCAGGCTGTGCTGCAAGAAGCAGAGGTCAGAGGGGCAGTTTCTTCTGTCATACAGCAGAAGACTCCTCTTGGTAATGCTGGTGTCTGACAGCCACATCTTAGCCAAGGAGACAATCACCTTACTCCTGTGTGCCTGCCACTTACGTAGGAAGGGCTAGAGCAGGCTAGCAGTGCTGGCTCTTCACTTTTACTGAGTAAGGGCTGCTCTATTTCCAGCAAGGGGTACCTGTAAGAGAGGATAAGTAGCAGGAAGTACTGGAGCTCAGCAAAGAACCCCAGGTGGGGATAGATTCATACATTCCAGGGCTGATGAGCAGTTTGGTTTGATGTGTCAGAAAGTGTTGAAAGTATGAATATAGATTCAGTGAAGATAATGTATCCTTTGTTTAGTACTTTTTCTGCAGAGGATAACAATAGTAGAAGTGACAAACAAGTTGCTAGGAGTCAATTATATCTTCAGCACCAGCCGTTGCCTGAATATTCAGATAATATCAGGCAAAGAACTCCACATAACACCACATGACAAGGCTCATAATTTTAAGTGAAATCATATTCTTTCCGGGTTTACATCACCTAGGTCTCTCAGCTGCATTCTGTAAGTTTTACTGTATTGTGCAGAAGTAGATAGTCCATAAAAAAAACAAACAACCAGCCTTCCCAAAATGTTGGGTTTTAGGCTATTGGAGTTATCAAGAGGAGGGAAAGAGGAAGTTCTCCTTGTGAGTTCTCTTTCCCTGGATGTTGAAATGAATAGATGAAAGGGGAAGTAACTTGGGCAATTTTCTGATGAGTGATGACATAACGTGCTTTTAATACTCTCAGAAAAGAAATATATTAGATGCTTTCACTGATCAGGTTTCTGCGAGGTCTCTCAAAGTGTGGGTCCCTTCCTGAGGCTGCTACTCAGACAGAAATCCCCACTAAAGTGAAAAATGGAAAAAACCATGAGCGTATATCTTATGAAGGATTTTGTGAGGATTGACAAAAAGGCTTTATTGCTGCTGCCCATTTCTAAGCATTGTCAGTGACACACAACACATTTTGGGAAGAAAAATTAGGGAAGAGCACAAGAGTCACAGAGACTGCATTGATACTGGAACATGGGGATTTGAATTAAGAAATTGTGGTATTTCTTCTTGCATCCAATTAAGAAACTTCTGGTGTCCAACAGGAAGAGACCTAACAATTTTGGCATATTATCCTTGCTTGTAAGGGAGAGGATGTAGTTCTCTGTATATCTCTTGAGTTTTGGGAAAAGCTAGCTTGTTATTCCTTATCATTCACCTTCTAGGGGGGTATGCTGCACCAACGATAAAAAGTAAACTAAGGCAAAATCACGAAGGAAGAGGTAGGTGATGGCACTTTGAATCAAGTAAGATAAATTGTAGAAGAATAATTGCTGAAGGTGTAGTATTATAGACTAGTTCCAGCAGATGTATCCAGTTATCCTTTGTGGTGTTGACTCCACCCTAAACATCCTGTAATGCTGAGGCCATGACCTGTTGTGGTCTCAATTGCTCTTAGCTCCCTATGGAACCAGTTAAACCACAAGGCCAAATGAGAACATTCACTTACAGACATGGCTATAAACAATCACGGGGTTTGTTGAGTAGACTCTAGTCAGTTTGGTGTTAATGAAGTCTTTGTAATAATGCCGTGGTATCTTACAGTCATGGGAACTCTGAACAAGTGCCATTCAGCTGGAAAAATTCCAGGCGTGTGTTTCTTCATTGGGGGAGATTCTTGAAGGTCACGCTCCTCTGTTGCAGCCACTCTCAGAGCCCCATGGTGGGCACTCAGCAGCAGGGCAGGCATCTGAAGTGCTCACTTCCCTTTCTGTCAGAGTATTCTGTTACCAGAACTGATGGACATGTGCTTCCTCCACACCACGCATTTCAACAGAAAGTAAAAAGCCTGTTTCGGTGCTATAACTTTAATGATGGTGACTTATAGGTACTGTTAAATTTTTTTGAATACAGAATATCGAGGCTATAAACCTGGAAAATGTTATCTCATCATATATATATATATATATATATATGAGTTCATTTCATTTTCACAGTGGAGATGCTATAAATTAACATTGTTTATAATGTTTAGGAAGGTATTACCTCTCTGCATACCCCATAGAGAGCTGATTATTTTCCTGGGAAATAGTAAATAGGGTGTCTGAAGGTTTTTTCCTTCTTTCAGACGCCATGCCATGATTTGTCAGATAATGGGCTAAGGGCAGATTACACTTCTCTCACTGGTTAGTCATATTGCAGTGTTTTTGCTAGGTTTCCCTGCATAAGAACATATGAATTTTGTGGATTAATAGTTTTTATCCAGAGCTGCTTCACATTAAGCTTTTGCTTCCCATCTGCCATCCCATCTGTAATGCTGAAACCTTTACTACTTCTCTTCTGATAATAAAAGCTAACGCAGCCTTGTAAGTCAGAAAAACACATTCAGTATATGGGGTTAATATTATATGATGAAGCCTAAATCTGTCTGGGGAGCAGTCTGGTATGTTCATAGACCACATTACAATTGCAAGGAGCCCCTCATCCTTCAGATGATAAGTCCAGAAGCAGATGTTAAGGGCCACACTATATGGAGGCCGGGGGGGGGGGGGGGGGGGGGGGTGGGCAAATATTAGAGCCATTCATTTTGGGAGGGAAACAAATATGCAAGTTTGGAAAATTCAGGTACCTCTATTACTCTTCCCAGTGCCGTCATGTTTACTTTCTGGAGTCTTTAGGTCCAGCACCTAGCACAAAGGTGGTCCTATTCCATGTGCTTCTAGTTGTTACTGCAGTAGAAATTGCTAGCAAACAGAGTCTGGACATAAAGGCACCTCCAACAAAAATATTTTGTTTCCCTTTAATCATGAGGCAAGATGCTGTTTATTGGCCTGAGTGAAATGATGTGATGCATTATCCAAACTTGACTCCATGCAGCTCTGTTAAACATTCTCAGCAGGATATCAGAGATGAAATGGCTAAAGACAGACCTCTACAAGCAACTCTGATGTGGGAGGCTGTGTGATTGCCCCTTCTTTTGCTCTGGGGTTGTGAATTAAAAAAGGGCACATGCCTTGGGAGTTCTTGGGAAATTATCTCTCTCAGTCACTGCATTCATAAAGAAATGAAAGAAACCAGAACCTTCCTTCTTTTTCCTTACCTTTTTTAAGTTTAGTGACATTTTTTCGTGATTTAAAGTCTTGTCTTCTGAAAGTCTCTTTCAAAACTCTGTGGGAAAGCTATTGATGTCTTAACCTCTTACTTTACATGGGTATCTATTTGCATTATTTATTGTCTCTGACAAACAGCATCAGGTAGTCAACCTTATGTTCAGGGACTGAAATTTCACTCCCAACAAGGTGAACTATGGTAGAGCATCTATTGATGCTGAATGTTTAATGTGCAATGCAGGAGTCCTTAGATAATGTGGCGGGTGAAGTGTTGCACCACTTAAATTAGGAAGTTTAATGAGATCATTTAGCAGTGAATGTCATGTCAGTGCTTACCTGGCCACAAAGCTTGTATAAAGAATAAACATAATGAAACATTTGAACTATTTATAATTTACAGTAAATCACTGAGCTTTGATCTCCAAATCTAATTGCCAGCTAATGCTTGGTCTTTAATAAAGGTTAAGCAAAAATATTAGCAGAAGCTTGGGGAGTGCTTCAGAATAGTAAGAAAATGGAGTAGCTTGTTGATGCAGCCAGGAATGCAGATACGACTACATTTCCAATTAAGAGCAATCAGCTATAACAAAGGAACTTAAAAGAATCCCAGTGAAACTACATGTGTTTTGCTGTTTAACACCATGTTAGGATAAAGATTGCATAGCCATATTTTCCATAAAAACCTGTGTTGTTGTCCTGGGTTCAGCAGTAGCCAGTCATTTTTTTCCTTCTTGGTAGCTGGTGCAGTGCTGTGTTTTGACTTTTGGCCTGGGAACAGAGCTGATAACAATGATGTTTTGGTCTGACCAAGGACTTTGTGAGCCTCATGCTCTGCCAGGGAGGAGGGGAAGCCGGGAGGAAGCAGAGACAGGACACCTGACCCAAACTGACCAAAGAGGTATTCCATACCACAGCACATCATGCCCAGGATATAACTGGGAGTTAGCTGGAAGGGCTGGGAGACTGCAGGGTTGGAGGAGGTATCGGTCGGTGCTTGGTTGGGCTGGGGGGAGATGAGTTATCGGTCGGCTGGTGGTGAGGTGATGGATTCTCTTCCCTTGTTATTTCCTTTATGATTGTTATTGTTGGTGGTAGCAGCAGTGATTTGTGTTATACCTTAGTCACTAAACTGTTCTTATCTCAACCTGTGGGAGTTGCATTATTTTCGATTCTCCTCTCCGTCCCTCCGGGAGTAGGGGGAGGGCAAGAAGGGGAGGAAGTGAGTGAACAAGCTGTCTGGCTGGGTTTAAACTGCCACAGTTGTGAAGACTCAGTCAAATGAGACATGTTCAATAGAGGTTTTGGTGTGGAACTTGAATGAAATGTGTATCATAATTGAAGTAGCACCTGGGGAAGGTAGCTACAGACTCCAGGGAGTAAGTAGATGGGATGATCTGACTGGGGTAGGTCCTTTAAACAGGTGCCAGTTTTTTGTCATTTATGGAGATCATCTTTATCAGTTAGAATCACACTCAGAAATTTAGAAAAATGAGCTAGCAAAGAACTATTGGCTGACCTGCTCTTGTTTTATTGTGTTGCCCTCTGTTGGTCAAGGTAAGGTTGCTGATGCTAAATGCCAGTTATTTAACATTAGAGTTTAATGTTCCTATAGAAACTTGAAGGATATCCTCTGAAGCAGGTAAACCTTTTTCTCGGGTCACTGTTAGCAGCCCAATCAGCCAGCAGCAGACCTGCGCTCCTCACTCTTTAGGAGAGTTGTTAGCAAAGATAACTACCCAAAAGCAACA